TTGGTTTGTTTCAGTTTTTGTGGATGGAGATGGGGGGGGCTAAGATCAGGCAGATAGAGGGGTGGGATTAGGAGGCATGAATGGATATTAAAAATGCAACAGCCTGGGTGACATTTAATTTGGTAGTCATATTTTTTATGGGGTGTGAGACGATCCTCTCTGGAAGGATTTTCACATCTGTAATTAATGAAATGTTACATTTTCACACCAGTTTTGTTCAGATATATATTATTGAACATGCTCTTGGCAAAAAGGGAATGAAACATTACGACCTCTGATGGCAAATTTTGAATTGATAAATTTAAACCTAGGAGGATGAGCAGCACCTCCCTCACTGCTGCTCGGTACAGTTACCATACAGAGATTTTTTTTTAACTGTCTGATGGGAGAGATGAGGGAAACTCTCTGCCTTAGGTAGGGTATTATTTCTACATATTTCACTTACTGAATCTGCAGCTCAGGCACAACCATCAACATACTCCAAATCATTTATCTGAAAACCAGTTAATTATGAATTTGGGTTGTGTTGGGGCTACAAGTCGCTGACATGAACAGATTACATTTTAGAACGTGATTTGGTTAAGGACCTAAAGCCTAGACCAGATATATTTTTTCCTATTGCTCCAGTTTTTTTATCACTCAACTAAAACGAGGAGTACACATACAGAGTTTGCACAATAATATATTTCCACTCACATCTATTTCTTTTCTTTTCCACAATCGGTGCTCAAACACTCTGATTGTCCAATTTATTGAGATAATCTTCTGTTGAAAATTAGGTTTTAGTGGCATCTAGTGGTGAAGTTGCAGATTGCAACCAACTGAATACTGCTCGCTTCAACTAAGCGTGAAGTAGAAACTACAGCGGTTGCGAAAAACATGAAAAGGCCCAATCTAGAGCCAGTGTTTAGTTAGAAACATAACGATTCAACATGGCGGCCTTCGTAAAAGAAAAGCTCGCTCTCCAGGTAAAAACGACTCATGCTAAGGTAACAAAATCACTACCATTCTTATTTTCAGGTGATTATACAGTAATGAACACACAGTTATGAGAATTATATTCCATTTCTGACAATAGATCCTCCTTAATGTTATAAACTGAAATTATAAACTAAATTTAAGTTGTTACAGAAATAAAAATTAAGCTATTTTGACGATCAGCCAAACTAATAAACATTTTATTAATTAAATCATAAACGGATAATCAGATTAATAATCCTCAACTAAACATCTGGAAAAATAGTAATTTCTGCCACAGTTGCTTATTATTAAGATCCATATATTTTTTACAGCATCAGCAGCATGTCTGCAGAATTGCAAAATATCACTAAATGAGCTCAGAGATATTCAAGGAGTCCGTTTAGATTTAATTTATGTTGAGTTTTAAGTGATTCACTCATTTCTCTTCTTTCAGGACTCAAAATGTGTTTCACTCAGTGTTAAAAAAAATGAATAAAAACACCTGACAGGAGAGAAGAAGTTGCTGCTAATCAGCACAAAATTTTTCCCAGCACACTCGGAGTGAAGTAGATGTACCTTGAAGGTCACCTCTCTGATTGAAAGTGTGTGTGTGTGTGTGTGTGTGTGTGTGTGTGTGTGTCTGTGTGTGTGTGTGTGTGTGTGTGTGTGTGTGTGTGTGTGTGTGTGTGTGTGTGTGTGTGTGTGTGTGTGTGTGTGTTCATACTGCTCATGTAGCGTGGAGGTGAGAGCGAGCTGTTTGTCTCAGCAGTAAACTCCCCTCCAGTCTAATGATGTCGTCCTCTTCATCAATCTGAACCAAAGACTTCTTCTGCTTCTCAGTCCTTAAATCTCCTCCTCTTCTTCGCCTCTGGGGTCTCACTGTACACCTCTGTACACTCCTCCTCACCTGGTCCGGTTGTTTCACCTGAACAGGAGCTGGAACCAAGTCTGAAGCCATAAATTACATCCGATTCCTACCTTTTTCCCCACCCTTATGGTCGCTATCGTCAAAACAGCACTGTATATTTAGCCCCCCCAATCCCCCCACCCACAACTTTTTCAATCAGGTTTGTCCCAGACTGTATCCCGTCGACCACATTAATGTCGTAAGCACGCAGCGGTGCACCTACGTGGCAGCGGAGGCGTAAATCACGGGCACACTCACGCTCCATCTGGCATCAGCCATTGCTCCAGCGTGGCCGGATTTGCGTGCTCTCCTCATCTGTTCAGTAGGTGGGGTTGCCATGGAGACGTGGCATTCGCAGTGCTGCTGATAGGAGTGATCGGTCCTGCATTGCACACACACACACACACACAGACAGACACACTCACTCACTCATCAGGGGCTAAAAATAGAGGGCTGGCCTGAGCAGCCTCCCTCTCTGAATATTGATCCTTATCTAATGATGCCTCTGAGGAGAAATGAAAGAGGGCAGAATATCTGAGAGCAGGACGGATGAGAGAGGCCGGCTTTCATTTTGGGAAAGAGTGAGCGTTATGCTGATGCATCACTTCTCCCTCATTAGCCTGATTCCTCCCCAAAGCTCTCGCCATTTTTTAAAGTGAAAATTTCTTCACTGGTTTTGAAACATCCTCAAAGGAGCCAGGTGTTTCTCCAGGAGGTCACATTCCTTCAGATGCTGATTAAACTGGACCATTAACCTAATATGTTCATTAGGTGAGAGACTGCGTAAGATTGATGTCAGACTCTACAGGTAAATCGCTTCTCATTTGTATCTGTCTCACACCTGGCTGCTCGAGGGTCATTTGTTTTTGTTTTTACTCCTGAGTGAAGATGCAGAGTTCAGTGGCCACAGTCACCTCAGCTGTGGGGCAGGTTGGTCCCCTGTTTTTCAGTCTTACTTTCAAATCAGATAAATTGGCTTCACCTGGAAATTAAGGGCATTTTCTGCCTTTATTACGCAGCCGACGCTGGAGAGATTATCGGAAATGAGGTGAGAGAAATGGGGAATGACAGGCCACAAGCCCTACACTGGCTGCCCAGGAAAACTAGATGATTAGAGTCATCAGTTGTGAAGACCCCGAGACAACTCCCATTTTGTCAGTGAAATCACTTTTTTAGCTGCATCATTGTACATAGAGCGACAACCAAGTCTCTAAATGTAGCCATGTTTCCACAGCAGAAACTGCTGATATAGTAGGAATACTATTTGGCATCAGAAAAAAAGAATCAATCATATTGAACAACCAAATCCCATTGCAGAAGTCTGACGGCTCTCACCATGTCAGTCTTTTAGTGGTTTAGTGGTGCTCAGACCAACAGCTCCAACATGACATCATCCTACAAAATGCTAAATTGGCCAATCTAAAGATGAAATGATTGCTGCCGTGATAACTTTACAGACTTAAATTCCTACTCATCATCTCATGAGCTGCAGCGTTTTGGAATCTTGTAAACCTTCAAACTCTTTGGGTCTCATATTTAAACTTGAGTTCCTATATTGGGTTTAATTTCTCACCACTACTTGAGGCAACACACGACTGTTTTCAGTCCAAACACCTGCCTAAACTTAATGGTTGGAGACATTCGGGTCATCACACGGGCCTAGAAGAATGGAAAAAATGGAAATTGGGATGCATTTTAATTTGTTGTGAAGTATCACCGAAAGAGGAGCCGAAGAGAGCAAAACATTTCAGCTGTTTGTGTGTAATTGATTTGTGAGAAGAAACACAGAAAATAAAAACACAATCAGAGATTAACTGCTTTGTATCTCCATCTCTACCAGCAGTAAATGTTTTTTTTTTTTTTTTTTTGCTCACACCAAACTAGTGAGGTGCCAGACGCTCCCATCACCAGGATGTGTCTAATTACATCTGCCAAGGTGCGAACGCGCTCAGCAAAGCTTTAATTATACCTATCTCGCCCACTCGTTTTGTCCGCCACACTCGTGTGACAACCGAAATCATTAAACATGTCGAGAGGAAAAGACGGGAGAGCCGAACGAGTGGGACTGAGAATTGGGAGTAAAAAATTGGGAGGTCTTAGCGATGTTGTAAATGTGAATTTCATTGTCATTAGCAGGGGGATTGTGAATTGATGGGCTTCCTATCTCCCTATTCTCCCTTCGTGTGTGTGTGTGTGTGTGTGTGTGTGTGTGTGTGTGTGTGTGTGTGTGTAATGTGAAGTAATGGGGTTCAGTGCAGAGAGCTGCAGAGGGTTAATGAAGTGCTGCATTAAGAGCAGTTTGGTAAATTGCTGTCAGCTCGCCTCATTGGTAAAACAAAGAGGATCAGCAAGTCACCAAATTGAAATCATCCTTAAAGGGATATTCTTTTTTCATGCAACCTCGATTTTATTTTTGTAGCTTTGGCCACTGTTCTTTTCAGTGATAGTAACTTTGTATTCACCGAGTTAAATGGTTATATCTGGGAACATAATAATTCCTTTAATGGGACGAGGCAAGGCAGTACAGCAGGAAACACAAGCAGTTAGACGATTACGAGCTTTAATGTTTAAGGTTAATGTTAAAGGTCCAGTGTGTGACATTTAGGAAGATCTGTTGGCAGGTATGGGATATAATATTCATTATAATTGGATATATACTTGGAAGCCTGAGCTGTATTCAAATGGTTGCAATCTGCAACTTCACAGCTCGATGCCACTAAATCCTACACACAGGTCCTTTAACTAAACATATTTGAAAGAGAAAACCAATAAGAATGTTAGAATAATTCATTATTTAATGCCACCTTACTCTGAGAAATCTTGTGAGTTCAACAGATTAAGCCAAAATTCTTGAAAGTCAAATGTCTAAAACAGAAGCAGCTAAATAAAATAGTCTAAAATTGAGATGTGGTTTGGATCATGTAGCTGATCTCTACAGTGTTTTTTGGTAAAAATTATACAATCACAAGAGATAAAATAATGTCTGAAACTACAAAAATATGACCCAAGTTGAAATAAATAAGAATTTCCAGATCAGATACTTTTAGTGTAATATAAAGGTTAAATTTGTATGTTTTGATCCAAAATACAGTTTGTTACTGAGCTGACATTGAGCTCATTGTTTCCCCTCTAGTGTGAATTTCAAAGAGCCGGAGGCGGTGCGAGCGCTGACCTGCACCCTACTGAAGGAAGACTTTGGTCTGACCATCGAGATCCCTCTGGAGCGTCTCATACCGACCGTGCCCCTCCGCCTCAACTACATCCACTGGGTGGAGGACCTCATTGACGGCCAGAAGCAACCACGCAGGGGCATCGACATCGGTACCACCACTAATATTTGTGTCGTACATGTATCATCCTACAGTTTGAGCGATGGGTATCACTTTCATGTGAGGATGCTCCAAATAAATCAAGCTGACATTATTTCTCATGTAACAAACAGTTCAGCCCTGTCCTCAGTGCTTTCCTCTGTAAGTCACACAGCAAAGTACAAGAAAGAGGAGAGGAAAACACCAGTAGCTCAGAAATTCAGTGTAGAAACACAAATACAAAAAAACGTGTTGGGAGTTGAAGTGAGCGGCCACCAGTTAATTCAAGTTTGAGACCCCTGCTCTTGTTCATCGTTGATGTTGCAGCTCAGAGCTGCACGCGAAATGTCAGTTGGTGCTTCCAGCTGGTACACATGAGCCCGTCATTCCCAGTGTTCCCAGCACTTACCAGTCAAATCCCCCATCCACATGTCACAGCTTGTTTGCCGTTCTGTCTGTCAGAGAGAAAAAAGTGTTTGTCTTTGCGTGTGTTGTGATTGTGCCTGCAGTCAGTGTGCGTGCGTGCGTGCGTGCGTGCGTGTGTGCGTCCTCGTTAGGGCCTCAGGTCACTGATTGGGGACCCCTGAATCTTTCTGTGAGCAGATTGAAGCTGTCTGCTTCCTGATGGATCACCACTGAGTGTTTCCTTTCCTAACGGAGTCCACCTTATGTCTGAGCCCGCACTGAATCATGCCGCTGTTGTCCTTTTTACATGTGTATGATTCAATAATACTGACATTAGAACTGACATTTATTGTCCATTGTGGCCGTAAAGTTAAAGATAATGCAGTCCATTTACTTTAAACAGCATCCCAAAATATTTCCATATTGTTCAATGAAAGTCATAACCATTCATCATCCTAATGAATACACACATGCTCTAGCTGCCAAAAAACACGTGTGTGTGTGTGTGTGTGTGTTTCCTCAGGCACTGGGGCTTCTTGTATCTACCCCTTGCTGGGAGCCACAATGAACGGCTGGTACTTTCTCGCCACAGAGGTGGACGACATCTGTTTTGACTACGCTACAAAGAACGTGGAGCAGAACAACCTGTCTGACCTCATTAAAGGTAAACGTGGTGCACTCATCCTGATGTATCACCAGACAGAAGACCGCTACGACAGTCATTGTAGTGTTTGATTATTGTATCACCTGGTGTGTAAGTTTGATTGAACTGTGGCTACAAGGGACTATTTACAGGATAACGCTAAATGCTAGTTGTAGAACAAGTAGGGATCTGAAGACGATGAAGAACTGACTGCGTAATATCAGCAGCATCTATCTGAACTTTGCTAACATTAGCTGCCATAAACTACTTTGGATTTAGATTAGATTTTAGATTTGACCGCGTTTCTGTCATGATCATCATCTTTTGTCTGGAACATCCTGAATTTGCACATTATATATAGCCTTTGTTTGATTAGCTAAAACATCCAACTTACAAATCCCTGCCTCATCTTTGTCCTAGTTGTCAAAGTCCCTCAGAAGACTTTACTGATGGACGCCTTGAAAGAAGAGACAGAAATAGTTTACGATTTCTGCATGTGCAACCCTCCTTTTTTTGCCAACCAGCTGGAAGCGAAGGTAAGAGCTTCCTTACCTTTTAACATTGAAAACATGTTGCTAGTTTTCTGTCTGAACATTTAAATTCAAAAGAGGTAGACTTCTTTCCATAAAAGCATTTGGCTCTTTAAGAGTAAACACTTGTTGACTGGCCAGAGCAACCCTGACATGAAACACTATTTGTTTACACGATAGTAACAGGCCTCTAATAGGATTTTATTTTAATCTCTGTCTGTCCTGTTTCTCTCTCCAGGGGGTAAACTCCAGGAACTCACGGCGACCTCCTCCCAGTTCAGTGAACACAGGCGGGGTGACAGAGATCATGGCGGAGGGCGGGGAACTGGAGTTTGTCAAGAGGATCATTCATGACAGCCTGCAGCTCAAGAAACGCTTGCGGTGAGCAAAAGATCAGGACAAAATGAAACCCGACTCCAACATGATTTTCTTCCCTTGTTGCAGGTGTATTGTTGTGTCTAAACCACATTTATGAAGCTCACTCACACACAGAAACTGTACGTATTCAGGGTTACACAGCCTTATATCTTAATGGGCAGATGGATGAACAAGAGTGCTTCAGTTTTGTTCTCTTTAGAGAGGCTTTGAGAGGTTTAAATGGCCACTGAGAGCACCAGTGGAGGAGAGACACCAAGAGGTGAAATGGGCAGATGGGTTTCTGGATGGAGCTGTCACCCAGAGTTGGTTTAATGATTTTGGCACATATTCGCCCTGTGCCGTATCCGGGAAGCCCACAGGGAACAGCTGTGTTTGGGTGGGTGGTTGGGGGGGTGTTTCCAGCGGCCGTCACTTTACCCTCCCCCGTTACCAGGGCTGTCACCGGGGCAGCAGAGTGCGACACAGTTAGAGGGAACTGCAGAGTGGTGCTATTAAAACTGATTAGACATGCCACACCTGCTTGGCCTCCTACAGGAGAGTACAGTGTGTGTGTGTGTGTGTGTGTGTGTGTGTGTGTGTGTGTGTGTGTGCGTGTGTGTGCTGTGTGTGCGCTTGTGTGTGCGTGCGTGCCGTGGTGTGTGTGCTGTATACAGTGGTGTGTGTGTGTGTGCATAATGCGTCAATGGAAAGACAACCTTCCCTGAGAGGGACTGATTTTAACACCTGCCTGCTCTTGTGCGGGCTCTGTGTTACACTCGTCTAGCAAAGAGAGGAAGTGAGAACAAACCGAGGCTTATTGAACAGGTTTGATGCTCGGGCCAAACCAACCGGAGCTGGCTGTCACTCCCAAATGCATGCTGGGATACCAGAGCCACCAGGTGTCCATGGAAACACTGCCAGCTACACCGATTGGTCCTTTGAGACCCTCCACGCCACCCCGCCCTGCTCCCCTTTCCTTCTTTTTTTCCTCTGAAGTGTAATTACTGTCAAATAAGGGCAAGCCACCTCAGTTCCCAGTATACATCCAAATGCCCCAAAAACCCCCCGTTAGAAGTGAGGTAATACTCCTCATTTATCATGCCATTGATATGAAAATTACCATCTCTGGTAATAAGATTTTAATCATACGCCTGTGCTTCAACACGCGAGGAGAGAAGGATGAATATCGATGCTAATGCAGCTGCACACTTGGGATGTTTGAAGAGCCGGGGAGCTGCTCTGGGTGTTCCTCCCCACTGTGACAAAAAGTGGAGGAACATCTGTGAATATTAGAGCTGTTCAATATTTCATTGTGTCAACTGACACTTCGCTCTCCCCTCCCCGTCACCCCTCTGGGCATCTTCATACCTCCCTAACCTGATTACAAATCACCGTCCTTTCTCATTCAAACGTTAAAACTGTTTTTTGAGCTGTGGTTTGTTGGGTGTGACTGTAGATTTGTACATTTACCAAATACTGTGCTTTACATAAAAATGTTAGTGTATGTAAATTACTGTATTATTGATGTACTCACCCTTCTTAAAATCACTTTTAGTTTCCTTGATAGAGACCTGATGTTTGACAGATTATGTTGTATTTACATCTTTGACACAAGGAACTCCTTTGTTTCATAACTGAATAATCTGTCAGTCATCTTCTATAAAATGTCAGGAAATAATGACAAATGCCAATCAACATTTACCAGGGACGTAGACAGCTTATTGTTTGTCCGACCAAATGTCTCAAATCCAAAGATATTCAATATACAATGATATGGAACTGCAAAAAGCTACTTATTTTTACTTGATAAATGATAAAAATCAAATAAAAATAGACCAAAATGGTTGCAGGTTTATTTTTCTGTTAATTGCACAATCAGTAAATCCTAACCCTTCAAACAACGTGTAGTGACAAAGAAACAAACCCTGACAAGGTTTGTGAAAACTGGCCAGTCCTTCCAGACTGACTCCCTGATGTGTTTATCTTTCCTCCATCTTCCCCGGCTGGACTCTACTGCTTATTGATCAGGACCAACCTCATCTCTTTATTGCACAGCAGAGATTATTGATCAGGCCTCCACCGAGGGCTCGACTTCAAAACTGCTTTTCCTCCAGTGTGGACCGAACTCACCCAGATGTTTTTCCTGTCTCTCATGTTTCACTTGGTCTTTGTGTTGCTCCCCAAAGCTCACCTCAGATCCTTTTGATCTCTGCTTGGCAGTCCGTGCCCGGGCCGCGAGCACAGCGACACACAGCTGGTTAATATGGATTCTTCTTCCTGCAGGTGGTACAGCTGCATGTTGGGGAAGAAATGTAGCTTGGCACCTTTGAAAGAGGAGCTGAGGAAGCAAGGGGTGAGTACCAACCAAGTCAAACGCACACACACAAATACATCTGCATCCCCAGCTTTTACTCTCAGTCTGTTCACACAGGAACGAGCCCCTTCTGTGCAGGGTTAGATAATAGCTTGTTAAAACAATCTCTGCCTCCCCTCTCAAACCGGCGCTCTTCTGGGACTGCGTATTGACGTTGGGGAGACGGTCGTCACTGTGGGCAGCAGATACCTACAGAAATATAACGCATGAGCTCTTTCTAATATGCCAGCTAAGCAGCGTCACAAACAAGCAATGAATGAGCTGATTTCTGTTAGCAGTGCATGACTGAATCACACGGCACTCTGTAGCTAACATGCATTAAGGTCATTAGCCTAACTAATAACCCAGCACATGACTCCTGACTGCTGCTGCAGGCCTCTGGTCCTGTGCCAGTCACTTCCCTCACATGCCCCTCCCTGACCCCCCCCCTGCACCTGCACCTGCCATCTCCTCAAAGCTCCTCCAGAGGTTTTAGGGTGCTGTCGCTGCTCATCAGAGTGAGTGTGGCTTTGGCTAACGTCCAGAGAGGAAGACTGTTGCCTCATTTTAAAGTGTGTGTAAACAGAAACCCAACCTAGTTTACATGCTAATGCTTCTGTCAGCCATTACTAGATCTTCTCTCCACTGTCTCCTCATCTCTCTCTCTCTCTCATTGTGTTTCTCAATCTAGCAAATGTGCATGTTGGTTACAGTCTCGTGTACAGAGCACTTTGACCTATGACCTTTATATGACCCTCCTCCTATTTACTGAAGCAGTCCTGAGGGATAGTTAAAGTGCTCTGTTAGCACAACGGGTTTCACACCACATCTGTTTGTTTTTCCCCATCATGGATTTTTGTTTTTTCACTCACGATTAGAGATGTGAAGCTCACAGCGGGAAGAAATGTCTCACTCACCTAGTTTACATCACATCACACTACCAAAGGTCGTCACACGTCGAGGATTCAATAAGTGATTCGAGGAGGAAGCTTCAGTGTAAAAACGATTTGGTTATGTAGAGCTGTTTTACATTTTATCTCGTACTGTACATATATTATAATCTAAAAACTCTGCCTCACTCAAGCAGCCAGATGGTTCAGTGGCTCCAGCTGTTTGTTTTGTGCTATATAGTTTGATGTTGTTTTATTCTATGGTTATGTATTTAATAATATCTGTAGATGAGAGCACTGAGAGTTTTCATGAAGGAATAAGATTAACCTTCATATGGAGGCAACCATATTTCTTCCAACAGCTGTATCTCTTTCAGGTTTCTACCTTTTAATATATATATAAAATCATAATTTGGAGTATATTGACACAGCCAAAACTAAGTCCCTCAGAAATAATACCACAACCAGAGACTAACATGTGAAGAAGAGGAAAGGAGTCAGGTTTCTGTGCTATATAATTTCCAATCAATCATACCTGACCGTCTATTTTCTTTTATCTCAGGTGCCCAAAGTGACACACACAGAGTTCTGCCAGGGGCGGACAATGCGGTGGGCTCTGGCCTGGAGTTTCTATGACGATGTGATTGTTCCGGTAGGTCTGTGCAACTTTTATTTCTGTCCCCTGGTGCACTTGACGATCCCACTGGGGTATTTTTTCATTGTTCCAGGCTGATTTCATGAAAGCTTTCTAAAAGAAAATTGTGATACATGTTGTGAAGTTTTTTAAAAACAATTTGCAAGTGAACATTGCAAAAATAGTTGCAAACTTGTTCCAGTGAGAATGAAAAATATTATTATTAATTATTGCAACTTCCTGCAGAGACTGACTGAAAGAGCTCCAGTCTTGCTGCACACTTCAGACTCTACAGATGTTTTGTGGCCGGATATTGACACTCAGCACCTTTTATGCTACCGCCCGATATGCTTTGATATCACAGAGCATTGAAAAATAAACATTTGGTACCGTAAATCAATACGCAGGTAAATAATCTCAGCAGGGTTCAACTGTTGCCCCTCTTCTGCGGGATGTTTCCAAAAGCCCAAAGCCTCCTCCTCAATAATGCACCACCTCTGTCCCGCCCCAGACTATATCCTCTTTCCCCTCAAGCCCCATTCCATTAGAAGCACTTATTCCTTCCTCGGGGGAGACGTTTATATGATTTCTAACAGGCTGTATCCAGGCAACAGTTGCCACAGACTGTGTGCATACAACACCCAACCATTGTTTTGTCTGGACGGTGATAGAGTTGAAGATAAAGCAGGAGACAGTGGAAACCGTTAAAAGGACTGAGAATAATGTGAGAGAGACAGCAGGTGGATAATAAAGGCAGGTGGGAGGCAGTCGGCAGGTGCAGCGGAGGTTGTGTGACGAGGACCGTTTGTGTGTTTGTTGGACTCGTCTCTGTTGTGGCCTTTTCAGCAGGAAAGCAGTTAAGCAGAATGATTGGCCTACATTTGCTCATGCAACCTTCCTCGTCCACATACCCACCGTCATTTACACTCAGGAGCTGCTCGCCGTCATTACAAGGCAGACCCCCCCAGCACATGTGTATGCCGTGTGTGTGTATGTGTATATGTGTATGTGTATGTGTGTATATATATGTATCTGTATGTGTATATATGTGTGTGTGTATGTGTAATTCTTCGCATGGTTGATTACATAATTCTTCCTGCGTGTGTGAGTTCCTATGGATGTCTGGTATATGTATGTATGTGGGGGTGCTCATTAATGTTACATATAGACTTTAACATATGTGACATGCATGCAGCCGTGACCTACTTAACCCTCTTGTTACCAGGTCAGCCTGCAAACTGCGATTACTCCCATTTCTTTATGTTCATCTTCTCTTTCATACTCTCCTCCTGCTTTGTTTGAAGACCCCTTCTCCATACATGTATTACAACATATATATAAACATATATATTGTGGGTAATGTAGGCCCCAAAAAAATAATATATATAGATCTGTTTCTGCTGAATTGATTTTAGTCTTTTTCTAAAAAAATCGTTCATTGTGAGTCTGACAGTGTTCGAAGAGTTTAATGCCAAATCATTGTAGTAATCTTTAAAATCTTTATCTCGTTATAGTTTTTTTGTTTTTGCTGTTATCTGTCTGTTCCCTGTTAAGCCTCCTCAGTGATCCCTAGTTACACCCACAGCACAGTTGGTTGGAGTGGCCTGTCCCATAATGTCTTTAATGTTTGCCTTTATAGAGCTTCATAAGACTTTAGGTCCAGAAAATTAATATAGTTTGGCCTCCAGGTCACCGCAGAGCCTCAGACACAGCTAGAGTACTTAACTTTTGATCTGTTGTCGTATGAAGACATTGAATTCTTCTTTTATATATGGATAAATATATGGTCTTGGAAGTTATTTTTATTACCAAGAGGGAGAGATTCAGAGGAAGGATTGACGGGAGAGAATGGGTGGATTGGCATGAAGGAAAACAAGATGCTGATAAAGAAAGAAAAACAGACAAAAGGACAGACTGTGGATAGTGAGATTAGAGCACATGCACACAGAATTAAAGGACCAGTAGACAGAATAGACCGCTCAAGGCTGCCAGGCTTTATCTGAGCCCCGAGGCGAGTTGTTGTTGCTCATACAGGTCTGGCAGTGGGGGTTTCGGGAAGGTCCAGAGTTCAGGACTCCATGCAGGGGTTTTGGGACTTGACAAAAAGGAAATGGAGGTTGAGAGGAGAGGGGTGATCAGAGTATGATTTACAGTGTTTGCCTGAAGGTGAATTCTGCAGCATTCTGTCTCTCTATTTTGTGTGCGTGCGTGCGTGCGTGCGTGCGTGCGTGTGTGTGTGTGTGTGTGTGTGCAGGTCAAGATTGATGACTGAATGACCTTATATCTGGAGAGAACAGCTCTTATTGGACTTGTGGGCTTTTACAGTGCCTGGTTTTCAAAATTAGGCCAGGCTTTTATTGTGAGGTTGTCATTTACCCACATTGTGTGTGTGTGTGTGTGTGTGTGTGTGTGTGAGTGTGTGAGAGAGTGAGAGAGGTGAGAGTGGGTAAGTGGGATTAATAATGGAGTGAAAGAGCAGCAGAGTCAGAAGAGGATGTGATTCAGTGGAGAGGTGTGTATGTAAAAATTGTACACATTTGGCTCTCCTCGTTCTTTGTCTGTGAATCTATGTTTATATCTGTGTGTGTGTGTGTGCAAGGATGCTCGGTACAAACAGACAGATTTGGCTTGATGGATTTTATTGATTTCCGTTCCTCGCACAATGCGCTGCAGGGCTCACAGAGCGTGGAGGAAAAAGGGGAGAGAGACGTCTGTGAGAAACAATAAGGAATAAAAGAAGCTCTAACAAGCAGCCAGACGAGGCAGCGACCATCATCAACCCATTAATTAAATACGTCCATCTCTTCCAAACACAAGTCTACAAGGACTAGAAATCAATACATGAATCAAGATTGAAAAACCTTTTACTGGAAGTGAAGCTTTTTTCAATATAAATTAAGCAAATGCAGGAAGAAAGTGTTTATTACACTTTATTTCAGATTCCTCTGCTATTCTTTAAGAGCCTTCAGAGACAGTGATAACAAATATATATATATTATAAACTATAATAACAAAAAGTGGAACGATGCACTAAAATGATCAAGTAATCCAAAGTTGACTCTCAGATCAGAGTAGCGGTGTGAAGGTCACAGTCTGCTCCTTCCCTCTGCTGTTTGTAGGTCAGTCGGCCATGCTGTCTGCTCTGTCACAGTGCAGTGCGGCTGCAGACCCCCGCCGTCTCCCCCCACTCGCACTCAGCCTGCAGTGACTTTGCGAGAGCAGCGTTGACATATTGGCTGCGGTGGACGGGTAGGGGACAATAGCTGCAGAGCGTCTGTTGTGTTCAGACACGGTTGGGTAATGACCTCCACCGCCATCACAGCGTGACATTAGAGGGGATTAGGAATAAGGAACGGTGTTTAATTCGCAGCAGGTTCAGGTGGGTGGGCTTGTGTGTGGTTTGAGCGCCCTCTTGTGGTGTGTAATGGACATGCAGATGCTCGTCACAGCTTTAAGTTTCAGCTCATAAGGAGGAATGATCTGTAACTACAACAACTGACAACTAACTAGGTTCATCATTAGTTACATTTTGAGAACTTAAGACAGAAAGTAGTTGATAAAGAGAGATTTTTGTACACAGTGTTACTGCAGAGAGTTTGTAGTAGCTGTAAGATAAATGTGTGGTCAGTAAACAAGAACCACAGAAGTATAAAATCAATAATCATTGATTGAAACTAGCTCATGATTGTTTTTTCTAAGTATTTTTGGGAACTAAAGGGCCGTCAACACCAAGAACGATAACTATAACAGTACTTATAAATATATCTTTTTAAAAATCGTTCTAACTCAGGTGGAGAGCCGAGTCCACAGAACAAATAGAACAATGACGGTGGCAAACAATATGATTCAGATCACTTTTCAGAGTGATTTGATGAACAATATTGTGGTATACAACTTATAACACTTGTATGATGTCACTTTAGGCTGCAAATCAAACAATGAAAAAACATAATTTTAGTGGAGACAGAACCAAACGGTCTGGTCTGGTCTTGGATTGTCCGAACTCCTCTAGTCTTGAAAGAAGTGCGAACTACAGCAGCAACAGCTCATCCATATGTACATTTTCCTAAGCTGCCAGCACAGCGGGAGCACATAACACGTTATCGTTCATCAGTGTAGATGTTCACCTCGTTGTCTGAATGTTATAGTTATTGTTCTCGGTGTGGACGGCCCTTAATAAGCCTTTATTACTCAAATAAAGTGAGTTGATTAGTGAGTCTGATTTGTGGCCTTTTTCTGAACGTAGTATTTTTGGACTTCTGCTGTCACTCATGTTAAATATAAACCATAAGAAAACTCTGACTGTGGTTTCTCAACCGGCCGTTTTGAGTCACTGTGCCTCGATATGTAACGTAAAAACACAAAAGAGCATAAGAACAGAATAAATAACAGAAAGTAGTGAAGTTAACAACTGGCAAATTAAAAAAAATGTGAAACAAATGAAAACGCTGTAAATATTTTCAAGTTAAGAAAGCAGGAATGTAATACTGTGTTTCCTTTGGTTGGAACATAAATTCCCCAACTATTGTCACTTGTAATTTTTATCTAATTTATCTAGAATCAATATTTTCATTCATATTTCAGAATGAATCACATCTTGTTTACTGTGGTGCCACAGGTTTTTTAAAATCTATAGTTTGTCTGCGACTGTTTCTCTATTAAATTATTATTAAATTCACTTTTGAAGTTCTTTTTAATTAGTCTCCTTTGTATTTTTAGTTAGTCCAGAATATTCTCTGTCACAGATTGATTAATTTTCTCCCTCTTTTATCTCAGTCCCCTCCCAGTAAGAAGCGTAAACTGGAGAAGGCGCGGAAGCCCCTGTCGTTCACTCTACCGGAGGCAGGACTGAAGGAGCTCCAGGCCAAGGCCTCGGCTTCAGGCGGTGCCGGCGGCAGCCCCGTGGACAGCATCGCTGCTCTGCTGGAGAAAACCCTCACTGACCTACGGGTAAGCTTTAAAAAGGGTTAGCCCCAGTTACACCATTGCTAAAGAGGAAGACCTAGAGGACATTACTGGTGTTTAACTATTCATTCAGGTTCTCTGTGCCCCGTAACCTCAATGTAAATACATGATACATCTCCAATAAACCTCATTATTAGATTGTCTTCTGTGTGTGTGGGTCTGCAGGTGCTGCACAAACGCGTCCCGTGCAGAAATCAGGAGCAGAGCCTCTTTCTAACGGCTGTGGAGAACACTTGGATCCACGGGCGACAGAAGAGACGTGAAGGGTCGCGTCAGTTGCGAGAGCTGCCCAGGGCGCCTCACTGTGCTGGAACCAGCTCTCAACCCACCGCGGCCGCTGTAGCTGCTCCGGCCACAACCCCGGCTTCTCAAAACCAGTCTGCCTCCACACAAAACACCAACACTGAGGACGACGGCGCTCAAAACAAAACTACGCCTGCACACAAGGGAGCTGATCCGCTGCAGCCCACAGAGCAGACCTCCAACGGCGCCTCTTCAAATGAGACGAGCAAAGACGTAACACGCGACCCGAATGGAGAGCAACGAGAGGTCTTAGAGAAGGTGTCGGGTGAAGATGTGGACATGGAGTCCTCGATCTCCACAGAAGCAGGGCAGGAAACGGTCCCAAAGGAAGCACCTGCTGCAGCAACTGACCCGCCCTCCAAGCGACCCCTGACCCCTGGTGCCGTCGAACATTTCCTGTTTAAGTGTCTGCTGAACGTGATGCTGGAGGAGGGCGACGTAGTGATTGAGATGCACTGGGTCGAGGGTCAGAATAAAGACCTGATGAACCAACTGTGCACTTACCTGAAGAACACACTTTTAAAGTCTGTTGCAAAGTCCTGAATGATCAGAAGAACGGGTCCTTTTCTTTTTAAAACGGTATATTAATCATTCGTGACAGCGAGCAAGACGTCGCAAATATTATTTTTAGGGATGTTTATTGAGTGCCTGTTTCTTTTTGAACAGTTTAAAATGATTCATTGTACGTAACTGTACACAGTGTTTAATTCACTGTGACCTCTGGAGGTTTATTCCAGTAGATTATTATTATTATTGGGCTTTTTCTTTACCTTTTTGTTAGACAGCGACAGTGAAGACAGGAAATGTGGAGAGAGAGGAATAAGTCCTTATCTATTCAGGATAAGGACTTATTCCAGTAGATAATCAGTGACATTCATTTATCATCTCATTTCTTGTACTTGGCGGTTTACCTTTTAAGGTAGAACATATACTGTACACTGGTATTTTGTGCTCAAAGTTGCAATAAATGTAAATTTTTATAACATGTTTGCTACTTTATATTGCCCCTGTGAGTGTGTTTGTTGTAATGGTGCAGTACCTTTAACGACCACATAAGGGCAGTGTTTATGTTTCTTCTATGAGGATCAACTATCAGGATCTTTAAGGATTTTATCCTTTAATTGCAGCTTTATTAGACATTGTCTTTATGAATGGCTTTGGCAATAAGACATTAATCCCAATGTGGTTTGACAGCTGGTACAGTCTGTGTAATTCAGGATGTTCCTGGAGACCCTCGCTCCTTCCTGTGCCTGGAGAACCTTTTTGGTATTGTGCTCCACTATTATTGCCCTGTTGTAGCTGACATACTTCCTGACGAGAGCCGAGTGAATAACAGGAAAAGAGGCCTTAATACCCGGGGTCATGTGTATGTACGTGCACATTCATTGTTAGTGTGTTGCAAGCAAAAACATAGTTCCTATTTGTCCCTTGGTTATGCCAGGACTTTGACTCCACCGGAGTGTGTGTGTGTGTGTGTGTGTGTGTGTGTGTGTGTGTGAGAGAGAGAGAGAGAGTGAGAGAGAGAGAGAGAGAGTGTCGTGAGAGCAACATCAGTTTTAAAATCAGGTACTTGGTGTCCTATTGTTAGATTAGGTTACTGATAACATTTAACTTTAAATGCTGTTTTAACAAGCAAACACTTGGCCTATAGGTACTTATTTCTTTATGCTCTGTCATTTGAACATAAAGAGGAAGTTTCATACAGACTATTATAAGCTGGACCTAATAATAATTTGAAGTCACACTTTTCTAATTAACCACATTTCATAGAATAAATGATTAATCCGATCAATGAAAGATTAATATAAAGTACCCAGTGTGTGTTCCTGTCAGGTTTCATATGGTAGCATGTGTCTACTTACAGTATCTATATTCTAATTCTCTCTTAAAATAAACCTGCTTGGTTTATAATATCAGATATTTCATAATAACTTAATAATGAAGTTTTATCCCTCATTTGTTGCAATATGTGCAGCAGTGGAAGGAGTACTCAGAAGAGTTATTGTAGTTTTATATTTTTCATTAGTTTTTATTTTTTTGTTTTGTTTTCAATTCAGTTAGTTTCCAGAGTGTGTTTGCTGGTTTCCGTTTAGTTTTTATTGTTTAAAAATATTTAGTTTTGGTTTAGTTTTTATCATTTTCAGTATTCGTTTTTGTTTTGTTTTTATTAATATTTGGGGAATTTCTCAGGGGCCACGATTTAAGACCAGAATAGGTATTAACAATAAAAACACAATAACTCATATGGACAGTCTTATTAAACATATGCACCAACACAAAAAAAATACAAAATTACTGCCATAAAAATAATCTTAAAGTACTATTTTAGTGTAATAATATATTAAAAAATATAATTCTTGATGAACATCACTGTTCACTGTGCTGAAGCTGAAACTTCCTCCCAGGGATCAATAAACGACTTATTTGTCGATTATATTTAGTATAACTAATAAAAGACAGATATTTCCCACTGAACCGTTATGTAGTAACTAATGTTAATATATTAATATATTATTAATATATTAGTATATTAGTATATGTAAGTAACGTTACAGTAAATAAAGCAGGACAGCTGCCTGTGCACATGATGCTCTTACCCCCACAGCCCCTCCCACAGCCGCTTTAATTAGGTTTCATTTTGAGCCTCACTGCCTTTGTGTGTTTATTTACATAATTATCTGAGCTGCTTGGACCTTATTACTGTCAATGGCACAATACGCTGCTTGTATCCATGTGTGCGGACGCCATACCTTGTTGTTCTTCTCGCTGATTGGCGGTTGAACGATACATCAGTGAGATGTAAATCCACTGCAGTCATGGTTACCGGTAAATTACGGAGCCGCTTCACGTAACCCTACACATATAATAATATATCAGGCTCCGGGTAACCGTTGGAGCTAGCGTAGCGTTTCCACGGCGACATTTCAGCAACAAGCCACATAGAGGCGTTGGGTTTTAATTTAATGTCACACAAGTAGAAAATATAAGTGCTGTTAAAAGCCATAAATCGTTATAAATCCGGATACTAGCTCTGACGTGTAACGTTAACGTACGCGGCGAGGTTTGGCTAAAAGCGGTTGCTAAGCGACACATCACAGACTGAGCGTTAGCCAGCTGACCGTTTATGTTCCATTTTTACTAAAAGATAATAACAACCGTTTTATAACACCGTCGTTAATCCCGTCCAACTCCATTTTCTCCGTGTTTTGCAATTTTCTCCCTCTCTCTCTGATGTTTTGCCTCGGAGGGAGTGTGTGTGTGTGTGTGTGTGTGTGTCGGTGGGCGGTTACAAACGGTGCGTGATTCACAAACCTTATTTGTTCCCCACTACTTTGAGCGCCATCTTGTTTGTAACTCTCCTACGTAAGTGGTAGAGTTTCTACCGAGGGGGTATCCGATTACCCTTTTCTCCAGCTCCAGACTGGGAACCCTCTCCCTGTAGTACTCACACTGCACTTGCTTTATCGCCCTTTTTTCTCTTGACGAATCTAAGCCACAGTGTTTCCAACTGGACAGACATGAGCATCGAAACGCTCCTGGAAGCAGCCAAGTTTCTGGAATTGCAAGCCCAGCAACAACAGAAAGCACGTGGTAAGTTGCTATTTTTTAAGAGAAATATAGTTTGTTTTCCCAACATCGCTAACTTGGACATCTTAAATGCTCAACAGTTCGGCGAAATGTGTCTCTGAAAGATGTATTGTCCGACTTTAAGTCAACCCCCCCCTGTTGTATCGTTGATCTAGCAGCGCCATTCATGAACTAATTAGTCTAAAAATCACCTTGTTTGTTGTTTTTAAATTAAAATATAACACGCTCCTGGGAGGAATATGCGTCAGTCAGTCTGGGACATATTTTTTAGTTTTACTTTCATATTCGCTTTGCGGTGCAGAGCTGCTCCATGTAACCCTGTGTTAACCTGAATCGTATCTGCCCAACATAACAAACACACACAGGGCTGCTGCAGCATCAGTGGGGTTTTTATACTGCATTGAAACCTGCTGCATAGAAAGGCTTGTTAACTGCACAGTGCTGTAAAGTTCACACACCCGCTCCCTTCCTGCTTTCTGCTCCTCGGTATATTTATGAGTTGACTGCAGCGCTATGAAGCATTTAAAATACATTTAAAAACCCCAAACATCGGGGTGGTGGGTGGGGGGGAGATAAAGGGCGGTGGCGCAGGGGAAGCCAAGCTCGCTTTACATAATGACCTGACATCGTCCGCCGGGGATCAAGTGACTCTAGCTTTCAAGGCCCCCCCCTCCTCCCTCAACCAGTTCCCTGCATGCATCTGTGCTCCTCAGTCATTTGCTGCTTTAAAAAAAACAAAAACCGTGTAATTAAAACACCCTCGTGTTTCACGTCTGCTTGTTTGTCTCGTGTAAAAACAACAAAAACAACAAACTATATACAGGCTTTCAGACGCTCGTGGAGAGCTTTGAATGTCTGTCGATGACGTGTACCTACCAACCACGCCTCCATATATTAACAGCAAAGGGTGGGGGTCGGTCCCACCCCTTTCACCACGTGCGTGTTGGGCAACCCCCCCTCATCTTCTTTAAAGATTGTTTATGAAGAAGATGAGTCACTACTGGATGCAGTCTGCAGAAAAAAACCTCCTGCTCTACATAAAAAAGGATTTCTGAGCTCATTTTCTGAGAATTTGTGGCCACTTTAATTCCCTGTAGTTGTTTGTACTGTATGAGTGTTTACTACAACATGTCAACATGTCACTGCCAATTCACAGGAAGATCTAACACCTTTTTTTTGTTTTCTGTGGCTGTTTGAAGCTCTATTCTTCAATATCACACCCACTGAAATACGTGTAACTTTAACCGTCATAAAGACACATTTATTCTGTTCTTAGCACACTTCAATAGGGCAGATCTAGACTGTAATCCTTATAAAATTGTTTTTAAAGAGACCCAACAGTTCCCACCATGAGTGAGGCACTAAATGTGTTTAATTAAAGTGCAACAGCAGAACACTTACTTACACCTTGCTACTGCATTAAAGGACCAGTCTGTAGGATTTAGTGGCATCTAGCTGTGAAGTTGCAGATTGACCAACTGTGGTGACCACGAAACTTAGCGAGAGGCCGTATCTGCCCGCTGGCTCTTTGCCAGCACATGTCGAGCAGAGTTTCCACACATGAATTAAGCACCGTTCACACGTGGACTGTAATCTGTAAACACTGCCGGTTTTACATGTTGCTGTCTGACAATCGCCCTACTTACTTACCGCCTACTTAGGAATTAGTAACAGTTCTAGTTTTTGGGGCTCAAAGCTGAATTAAAAATGTTAAATTTCCAGGAAAGACAAACACAAGCTCACAATGCTGTTGTGTACAGTGAGGCTGTGCTGCACCTAGACCATGAAGACCCTTTTGTAGCTTCAGATCTGACTCTGAGAGATTTATTTTCTACCTTTTTTAAAAATAAAAGGCTTTTTTGTACTGCTCTCCCTCCAAGCTAATGATGAGATAACATGACAGCGTAGACCTGCTGCAGTAAACCTTGTACATTGTACTTCCTTTCCTGCGTGACAAAAGCTAAATATTGAAGCATCTTTTAAAGGTTGTGCTTTAAACAGTCAATATAGTCATTTCCCATATAAAGAGACCCATGTGTGACTTTACTTGAATCCAGAAATTAGGTTCCTTCCTCCCTTTTTATAGACATTTGTGATATCCTGAAAGGCTCAGAGTGAGAGCTCCTGCCTCTTTCCTCTCTTGGCTCCTCCCGCCATGCTGCATTGGAAGAGCAGAGTCCTCCCCCACTCCTCCTCCCTCTCTGCTACTGTAGAGCAGGTCACTGTGTGGAGAAAAGTAGGCCAGTGTTTCCAATGGGCTGCTGCAGTTATATAATGTCTATAGAAAACCCTCTTGTTTTTTATAAGTGTTTCATAGGTTTTCTCTCAGAAAAGACACTCCCCAGTCTAGTGGGTGTCTGCACCACAACACTATATTATCGGTCTCTCGTAACAAGGGCATTTGACATCTTCTGAAAGCTGGTTAGCACAGTATAGAACATCTTGTTCTTTTCTACTTCTTCTACATTGAAGACCATATTTTGTCAGTGTAATATAAAATGAATACGCAGCACAAAGTGACACAGTTGGCTGTTTTAATATGAGATGGTGAAATTGTTCTCCAGAGGTATTTTAGAGCGGGAAATGTCTCCTTCCTCCTTCACATGAATTTTGCAACCTGGTAGAACACGTTCAGAGAGTTGCGTCACTGTCCTTTTGTCTATTTTTGTGTGAACAGAAACACAAAAGAATACATGAATATGTATCTGATTCACATAATATCTCGTTTGCAGCTGTGTTTTGTAATAGTTGGGCAGAGGTTCAGTCAAAGGTTTGTGTGTCTGTGTGTGGTCATGAACTTTAAACTCTTAACTGCTGGACAAATACAATTTTGGCAATTGTGGTAAACTGTAGGGGGACTTAATATAAATAAAATATTATATATTAAGTAGAATCCATCACATAGAAAACTTATTTCTAAACCCAGAGTACTGACTTCTCAAGGCAGAAATATCTTCATGATCATATTTTGCATATGTCTTTTTATTGTTTTTAGTTTAAAAGTTTACTTTTGGCTACAATCCTTGTTGATATTGATATTATATATGAATTAATATATTAACATGTTTTCAGTTGATTGTAATAAATGTAATTAAGTCTGCGCTGCCACTGATACGAGGTCTGCATTAAAGGGACCAGTGTTTATTGCTGCAGTGGCCCTGGTTCACTACTTTATGACGTTATCACAGTTTGCCCCAGGGGGCTTTACAGTCTGTACAGTATACAACGTGCTCTGTCCTCAGACCCTCAAATCAGGTAAAGAAACTCCAGCAAAAGAAAATATGTTACAAACTTAAGGAAGAGCCACAGAGGAGAGATTTCTCTCTGAGGACAGACAGACAATCAATAGATGTCATATTAACATAGCAGACCAACAAAATTACATTATATACAAATATTAATGATACATGTAGATTATATATTATATATATCTCCTAACGATGCTTTGTTTATTGTTTTTTAATCATTTATTTGGCGTTACTGCTGTGCTGAGATGTCATGTGACATGAGTTTTAGGTAAAGAAGTCCAAACTGTTCAGTGTGAAGGAACCTGTAGCTTGAAACCTTTTAAAATTTAACTCCATTACTCTTCTTTTACCGTAATTAGACAATCAGGACGATTCCTAACGTGTTCTTACAGACACGTTGGGAATAAAATGTCATATTTCTTGAAGGGAGTTTGGTGCAGGGAACTTTTAGTGGAATTGAATCTGATAATATGTATAATTATAAACGTTTTGTCACCACTACACAAACACATGGTAGCTGTTAAAGTATGATGATGTCTGACGCCGACTGCAGTTTGATAAATGGTTTAATAATGTGTGTATCGCTGGCTGGTCAGGTTAATTATATGTTTATTTTACTGCGCAGTGCGCTGTAAATGGTAGCCGTTTGTGTGTGTTTTTTAACTACTTCCTAATTAAACATTGGTGTTGTTAATGACTCCTGATGAAACATAGCTTGGTGTGACCCCTGTGGCTGATCAATCACATTGACAACTACTTCAAGACTCCCAGTTACAAGACTGAGTTCTTGTAGCGTGTCCAAGGCTGAAGTGTGTGCAGGATGTTATTCGCTGCGTTAACCTTCCTTGTTTCTTCCACAGAGGATGAACTAAAGGAAAAGCAGCGTCTGGAGCAGCTGGCGGAGCAGTGGCACTCTGATGTGAAGTATAACTCAACAATCAACAATGTCTCTAAAGCAGAGGAGCTCCGCACTGAGTGCCGCCCGCTGCCCATACCACCCTCTCTGCCTCCCCCCTCCATGCCCATTACCGTCATCCCCATCCCCGTGGTCACCCCCAACCCTACGGGCTCACCCACTCTGCCCGTCGCCACGCTCTCCCCTCCGGCTGCTCCACCACCCGCGGCCACGCTACCGCGCTCTCCACAGCCCAAACCGGACCACCAGACCTCCGTGCTGACCGCCAACCACAAGCAGCTGATACCGAACCACCATCATCACCCAACGCTCATCACCCAAACTAACAACACTAAACTGCACCAGCAGCTGGTTCAGCGCTATCCCGGCTCCATCGTCTCACCCCCCCAGCAACATGCCTTACTCCCCCAGTCGGGCCCTGTGCTCCAGCAGGCTCCTTTACAGAACGGCCCCATCAGCCGGGGGAGTCCTCCGGATGACCGCCATCTAGACAACAAGAAGAGGCCTGGAGGGTAAGTCTAAACCTATTTGTTTACATTGTAACTGAATTAGGGCTGTAACTGACTGTGTTTTTTTAATTGCTCTGTTAATTGTCAATCAGTACACACGTCTATAAACTGTCTCTAAGTACTTTTTGAGCTGTAGCCTCCTAAAACCCCTCAAAGCTTTTGTCTTGTAATGATTTTAAATGAACAAAAAAAACAAGCACAATTTTTTAGCATTTTGTGAAGTTGTTACATTATTAGTATTTCGCTGCTAAAAGACCAAAAGTTCTGCTTTAAATTGGACGAGCACGACAGAATATTGTCACTAAACTATCTGCAAGAAAACTCTTCTCCGGTTGATTTTGATTATTCTTGTCACATTGCCCTTTTGGACACCAAATTCTTACTGTGCTCTCATTTGTGCTCTTACAGGGCAGGCACAAGAGAGGTGCATAACAAGCTTGAGAAAAACAGGTGGGTTCAACCTGTCTACCATAGGGCCTCCTTAAAGAGGGAGAGATCTGAGGTTATTTCTATTGTTACATTTGAATAATAGTTACATAGTGTTTTTTTTTTTTACCCTCAGTGGCTTCTGTTCCTTAGATTTAAGTTTTTCCCTGAAACTGACTGATGCCTTTTTTGTTTATTTGTCACGGTTTAATTTTAATGCTAAGCTTTTCATTTAGTCAAGAACACAAAATGAAATATTGTTAAATCTTTGTTGTGTAATCTTATAATAAAGCAAAGTGCGACTTAACCCTTTCCGCCGCCTCAAATTCCCCCTCTGTGTCTTGTGTCTGTCAGACGAGCACACTTGAAGGAGTGCTTTGAGACGCTGAAGAAGAACATCCCCAACATAGACGAGAAGAAGACGTCCAATCTGAGTGTGCTGAGAAGTGCACTGAGATACATTCAGGTAACTCTTAATGCTAAACGTGTGAACTTTTGGGAGTGATTCTTAAATTGTAGTTGGGTGCGGACTACTACAAGATCATAACAGCCTTTTACCAAAAGGTCATATCCGTCGCTTTTCATCATCATATGAATGAGTTTGACTTTTCTACTTGGAGGAGAGGTCAGTCTGTGTTTTTTTACAATGCGGGTTAATGCTCGCATGAACTCAAGTCTGTTCAGCAGAGACACAGTTAAACTATACTATAACATGCCAGAAAGCAATTGTCAACCTATCAGTTTGTGTGCTGCATTCGTTAGATGTTTGTGAATGTGGTTAGGACTTGTTTGCACAGGTTTATTGACACCCGTGATTACTACTGAACAATGGAGCTGCAATATGAGCCGCAGTGTCGGGTACAAGAGGAGGGGCAGTTGTTTTAAAGGGGAAAAAATTCTAAGCATGCTCCTTTTTGTATATGTGTCTATAACTGTAATTATCAGGATTTGCATATTGGGTTCTGAATTTGAAGAGATATCTGTCTGTAATTAAAAACCTTCCTTGTTGTAGAAAGTGATTTTTCAGGGCTGAAATTGATTTGAAAAGGACACAGAGTACAAGATAAGTGGGTGTTTGGTTGACTTATCTCTGATAAACATGGTGATTACTGAGGAATCTCTTCACACGTCCTCATTTGTTTCATTTTTAACTGACTCTGTGTTTAATATTAGGGCTGTGTGCCATCCGACTGACCATGTGTTTGAGTCAGACACTCGCTGTGAGACTATCCTGGTTGTAAACAGCTGGTGCAAAGGTCCACCACTGGCCTACTTCAACTCTTTCAGACTGTGACTGTGCTGTTGAGCGTGTCACAGTGTTTACTGTGGGTCCTTTTGCTCCTATAGATAGGTACAGTAGGGTGGCAGTTTTGAATCTGAGTTCACCCATGAGCCCAAGTTGCAATATAAGAATGGCTGTCATATTTCTGTGTGCATTCGTGCTGTAATTATTAACATAATTGGTAACATATTATATCCTAGTAGAACAGTTTGCATTGTATTTGCATTTCTCTAGTAATAACTGCCGGTTTGAGGTTGGGCCTATATAATAATTACATACCTATTTGGTTTTATTAGTTATACTGAGCAGTAATATCTGGTTTGCACTCTTTGGCTTTTAAGGCTGTTATATAACCGTGATGCGGGTTCACTAATGTAAATTTTGCAGAATACAGCGTGCTGCTGATTTGATGCTGTGAGTAGCAGCAGTTTGGTTATTCCTCTCTGTGAGTGGATACTGAGGGAAACTAGGACAGCGTGGGTGCAGAGCTCGTCACCCAATCTCCCTCCCCCTGCCCCCTCCTCTGTGTGATTAAGCAACACGGTGTTCAGTGTGCTGCGTTCGACTGGCAGACTGACCTGCCTTTCTTTTACTCCTATCAACAGCTGAGCTGGACGAGAGATATATTTAAAGCAGTTAGAACCGAGGAGAGAAATCCCGGCTGATGTACAAACCTCATCGTGTCTAGATGGACACAAATGTTAACGATCAACTGAAACATTTAAATATGTTTTGATGAGCTGATGAATGGTGTCACCAGAGCTGTATGTATATATAACCCGGTGCTATAACAGCTTATCTGTTGTAGGTCAGAACAGTTTACTCGTGTGTGGCTCTCTTGTTTTTGTCATTGACCTGGTTGATGCTGTTTTGTTTTAGAGGGGTGGAGTAAAACAAGGGAACTTAAGGTGATGGGAAGCCAAAAAAAAACAACCCCAAAACACGTGTACACACTGTCATCTTGACATGGGTTGTACAGACGCGTGTCCTGCCTGCATACACATCTCTCCCTGAACGCTGCTTCCTCCCTCCCCGCCCGTCCTTGCCCTCCTCTGGCAGCAGAGAAGCAGCCTGCACACAAAAACACTGAGCTCAGGAGAGCCTCAAATAAGAAGCTTTAGGCTCAGCATCACATTTTATTTGATTTTATCTAGCTTGTTATCTCAGGGGTTCACTTGGAAATGAGTTACAGTGGTGACTATTACGCTTGGATTTTTATCAGTTTTTCACAGAGAGTCTCTGTCTTGGCCAACAGCTACATGGTTCAAGTTCCTCTTCCTCATTTCATTTCAAGTGCAAATGACTCAGCAAATATGACCAGAAGCCTGCAAATACATCATTTTGCTATTTGATTGTCAGTGTTTTTTACAGAGCTTTACATGGGTTCTGGTTTTTACTTTAAATGTATTACATCTTCCTAAAGGCTTTCCCCTGAGCCTGTAGTGGCGCTGCGAAAGCAGAGGCTATAAAATAAGCCCCAATGCATTAGAGCTCCTCCTCTACCAACCCCCCTCCAGCCTCCCTCCATCCTGGCTCTCTTAGCTTTTAAGGCCACATGAGCAGCAAGCACATGGCTAGCCTGAGCCGCGTGACGTCACCCCCCGTGCTGGGCCCCCGCCCAGCACTGCAACAGGCAGAACTCGCCGTACCACCAGGCTTAGCTGCCAGCAGCAGGGAGGGAACATGGAGCGGTAAACACAAGGCTCGGTTTACTCCGCTCGCGCTTCATTTCCCCCTCGAAGCTGACTGAACTTGTTCCTCCCCTGCTTATGCCTGAATGCTGGTCTGAAACGTGTTGTGCCATCTGCTGGGGAAAATCTAGAGTGTAATATTTTTAGTAAATGACATTTCGTTGTGCACATAATGACATATTTCCTTAGAAGTCTTGCCGTAAAACAAAGTTTCACTGATTGCTTTGACATTTTCTTATTCGTTCAGCCTTGAACATTACGAATAATCAGTCTTTTCATGGCAGTCAAAGTCACTGCTCTTTAATATTTGAAAGGTTGTTTAAGGTTTTCAGTCATTGTGGAAGTTTCAGTGACATTTGCTGTGGTACATAAGTATGTGTAGTATCTTTCTCTAGAAAAAAAAACTAAAGGAGTAAATCTATATGGCCGAGTATCACAACACAGTTGTATAAGTGGAGAGCATGGTCTGGACTATTGACCAGTCCTTCTACGTTGAGGCAATTAGGTCAGTTATGACCAGCACAAGCTTGCACACAAGGAACGGTGTGCAAAAGTAGGGATTTTTTTCTGCACACACAAGCCTTTTATTGTTGAATTGAGGCACCACGTGAAGTTCTCTGTTCCAGCTTGAAGGCACAGTAAGACAAGGGTTTATGGTTACCACACTGTCACAAGACCTCTGTGCAGAAGCCTGATCAGTCAGCCAGGCTGAGCAGCATGTCTGCAACGTGGCCTCCTGCGCTCCTGGCCCTTTAAGAAAGCCCAGCCTAGTGCCGTCTGCTGCAAAAGTGAGTCAGTGAGTACAGCTTGTATTGCTCTCTTTCAATCCCCCCGCTATCTGCCGCCCTCCCTCTCCCGTTCTCCGTGGGGCCATGTGCTCGGCACTCGCATTGCTTGTGACAGCGCTTGAGCAGTGTTTACCTTCCACACACACACACACACACACACACACACACACACACACACACATAATGCAGCGTATCCTTGTACTGATCTAGATTTTCACACGCAAACAAGGCCGAGGTGGGGCTTTGTCTCCCTGAAAGGAGGAGGACCGGAGGCTCAGAGGGTGCGGCCGTGTGCAAAGACACAAAAGGTACTTGGCACCTTGTGTCCTACCAACCTGGTGGCATGATTAACAAGGTGATGAAGTCATGTGGGATCCATCTGCGACAGACTCCCTTATCAGGTTTACGTAGTTAATCTCAGACTAGCTGTTTCTGAAGAGACAAGCACAGTGTCCGCTCTGTCCACCATCAGCGCTGTAACAGGGAGAGTTCAGTGGGTCTCGGTGTTTGTGGAGCATTTTCTCTCTCCATGAGTCATAGTTTGTGGCATGCACAGATGTGGCGCCACTCGCGTAAGGCTGCCTGCTAATACGTGAGGGGGAAAGGGCGGCAACCAGCCATTTTCTGGTCCACGTGTCACATATTTGTTTTCTCTTTCATACCATTTAATTCTGGCCTGCTGACAGTCCTTTAGAGAGAGGGGCTCAGTATGTGTGTGAGGGAGTCAATACTCTGTGAATGATCGTTTTTTATAATTACACCCAGGGTGAGTCTTAAAATCTTGACCTGTTGAAACACTGTGGCACATAAAGGTGTGCGGGGTCTTTTTAGGAAAAACCTTTCAGGGGGTTTTCAACTGTTTCCATGACAACCACAGATGGGGGGGGTGTTGAGGCCGAGGATCCTGTTACCGTGTTGAGACTGAAGTATAGATCTCATCAGAGTAGCTGTTGTTGGCTGGTCAACAGTTGCACATCTGTGTCCAGGGACTTCAGGTACCAACACAAAATTTGTGCGTACGCCATTTTTCACGTTCACGCTCGGATGTACTAAAAGTGAAATGAACGTGAGGATGTGCGGTCCTCCACGGGAGCTTCATTGACGGCGTACGTACATATTTTTTGCTTAGCTCAGCTGGCGACACTCACAGGCGATGCATTGAAATTGCATAGCCGAAATTAACAATTGCTCTCGGGACAGTTGCACTGCATGCGAGAGTCATTATTATTTACAATCAATCAAGCAATTACACAATTTTAAATCATTTGCAGATTAATTGTGTTAAGGGGTTATTTACTGTGTATGGAGGAAGTAGAACACACTCGAATTATCTTTAGGTATATTTATTTAACAGTTAACAATGAAGTGCGGACCGATGTGCCGCTGTCTCATCAGCATGGCTCACACACAACAACAACCAGCGCTCACTGGGAGCGTGGTGACGTCACGTTTTGTACGTACCGTAACCCTTTCACAATACAGCAGTACAGTACATCAGTCTACCGTAATACAGGGACTCCACCACCTGTGGCCTGAAGGCTCTGGCGATGGGCAGATATGTCTTATATGCGGTGCGGTTTACTGCCTGTGCCACGCAAAATATTTATTAAAATAATTTGTTTTGGGCTCTACCTCCGTCAGCAGCACCTCCAATTCACACTCCGTAAAATTTCTTTTTTTCCTGGCTTTTGCCATTTTCCTAAAGACAGCACTATCTAGGCCTATTTAAACTAATTAGCATATTCAAATCGGTGTATTTGAGGGAGGGGACAGGGTGGAGCGTTGTGCTCCTACATGTGCGCTCAATTTCAGGTTGATTGGGATGTACAAAGACAATGTGCGTGGGATTCTGCGTATGCACGTTTTGATACATCTGAATTCTTTTGTGCGTACGAACTTTCACTCTTTCAGTGTACGCCACATTCTAGTAGGAAATCCACGCAAGTCTTATCATGTTCATGAGTGCATGGTAAGGAACATGTTGTTCATTAATCAGTACACAATCAGTCCTGCTCTGAAATGCAGTTCATAGATACAATATTAGATTCACATGCTTCACAATACAACTGAAATACAGTAACTCTTATTTTATCTGATAATGTTGCAATACTTGAATTCTCGTGGTTTTCCAGAAGAACTCGACCACTGTCAAAATTCAAAGTAATGAGATGTGTAGCAGGCGGCAGCGTTTCCTCCTTGTTCATCCTCAACAGTACTGAGTGACAATCTAAATTGGTGATGGTCCATATTTGGAAACCAGAATTTAGCTCTTAATTCTACTAGACTGATAGATCTGCTGGGCTGATAATAGTGGATATATTGGTATCGGTGTAATATGTGATTGCAGTACCGAAGGTTAGAAAGTGATTCATCAGAGAGTACACAGGCCAACTGTAAAGTGTCCTTTAGTATGTTATTTTACAGTATTTAAATATTGGATTGTTTAAACTCCAAATATCTATTCGTATTGGCCTATAATTTGAAGTATTCTTAACCTTAATAACCAGAATAAACAGCTCGTTTATGTTAATTGTGTTCTTTTCATATCTTTCCTGTGACAAACTAATAGGTGAACAACACTTCCTCTGAGTTTGTTTCAGTTTGTGTGCGAGTGACAGAAAACACCCCCAGTAGGATACACACACACACACACACACACACACACACACACACACACACACACACACACACACACACACACACACACACACACACACACACACACACACACAGAGAGAGAGATCGCCTAGCCCACGTATTTCTAATCCTGGATAAGGACTAGAGACAGGTGCTAAATTACACAAGGCCCGCCTTTTGTCAATGCCCCCCGTTGCTATTTATGTACTTGTATATTGTGCTGAGGATGGACAGACCACGCTGGTGGAAATCTCTTAAAGCTGCAGCAAGACAGGAACAACACTTGAATATTACATATAGATGCACTTATGTCAATCACACGTCCGCACACACACACACACACACAGATATACACGGTGGTATGAACACTAACAGGAAGTCCACCCTTTGGGGAAATGGCTTTATGATCCTGAATCATCAGGTTGCTGGTTGCAGATTTCACACATTGTCATTTCCCTGAGCCGCTCCCACCGAGGACAGGGTCTGTGTTAGATAGTTTGACCGAGCTGATTTTGACATTTTATAAATTATACAAGTGTTGCATGTCAAAACACTAATCCAGTATAACTCTATCCTGCCGGTATGGCCTTAACCAGCAGCTATATATTTGGGAATTAAGTTATTTAGTAGTTTATCACGTGGCATATTTTAGGTGCATTTGCATTATTCTTACACAGCGTGTAATGTATTTGTTTGATGTAGTTTTCATACGTCTTTGAACCTTTCCTCCTGTTTCTGTGCACAAGGAAGTCCAGCTCACTTTGTTTGGTTTTGCCTCGTGTCAGCTGACGGGTTAAGGGAAATTGGGTCACAGAGAGCCACTGCCTGGAAGCACCTCCTACTTTCCATACTCGTCTCCTCCACCTCCTCCTTCCCTCCTGCTTCTGTAGCTCGGTTATTCTGCTCCCTGCACACAGGCTCTGGTCACAGTGTTGATTCATTATTAGTTGGACCTGTTTCTTATTAATCAGCATGGACGTTAATAAGGCTTTCTAGGTTTATCTGAACGATGTGCTTTGTTTTCTTCAAGGGTTAGACACTTTTAGTTCAGTGTAATGGATATATTGAATATAATGCCAGTACAATATAATGTCTGGATCACAAATCTGTTCACATGGTGACAGCGGTGGAGGAAGTGTACATGACATCTACTGCTACAGTAAACAGTGTACGTATCTGCTCTGTCAATCTGTTCAGAAAAGAAAATATATTTTAGGTTTCATATTTTTTTGGTTTCATGACTTTTGCATTACTTTGGCAGAATACTGATACTGATGAAGTGTCAGATGAAGGTAGATGGAGACCTTGTTTTGATCAAATTGTACATGAAGCGGTAACAGGCACCACAGACTCTGAACAACCACGTTTGCTTCCTGCCAACGTCTTCTCAAGCCTTTAATTGACAAACCCCCTTTTGAGGTGAACATAAATCAATAACTCAATAACACGAATAAATACAAAACCACAGACACAGCATGTGTCTTTCTGACGCAGTGTCAACATAAAACCTCAAAAAGACAGACTTAATTGTGTGGTGGTTATATTGGATTATTGCATTACACTGTACACGTGAACCTGATACACTGGTAACAACATTTACTGATGGCAGCTCACAGTATCACGGAGTCACTCAGTTCAACGCGTTCAAACCATCTTCTGCTTTCTCCTTTCAGACGCTGAAGCGCAAAGAGAAAGAGTACGAGCATGACATGGAGCGACTGGCCAGAGAGAAGATAGCCACGCAGCAGCGATTAGCAGAGCTGAAGAACGAGCTGAGCCAGTGGATGGATGTGATCGAGATCGACCGCGTCCTTCGTCAGACGGTGCAGCCAGAGGAGGACCAGGCCTCGACCTCCACTGCCTCAGGTAGGCTGACAGTCAGGGTGGGGTTACTGAAGGCCTGCAGAGCTGTATAAATAATGAGAATATATTTAAAGTTAAGTATTCCTGTGTGAGTTTTGACACATTTCTCACATTGGCTCTAATAACGCTGCGTTTATTCTCTCCTCTGTTGGCGTTGCAGAAGGTGAAGACGGTATGGACGATGACCTAGAAGATGAGCCTGCGTCGAGAGCACAGACTGCCTTACCCACCGTGCCTCAAACCATGAAACCTGAGCTTCACAAGGCTGCCACACCCACTCTGACCCCAACCCTGACACCCGCCACCACCACTACCTCCTTTATCACCCAACACATCTCCATCCAGCACAAAGCCCCTCCTCACCTCCAGCCCCACCTCCAGCCCCACCTCCAGCCTCACCTCCAGCCGCTGCCAGTGACTCTTCCACAGCCATTGTCCAAGCCCACAGCCCCACTTACACTCACAGCAACAACATCCAGCACTCCCACCACCCCCAGTCAGCCCCTCATCCCCACCCAGACACAGATGGTTACCATGCCCAGTCTACACCCCACGGTCATTGCCCACGCGTCAGTGTCCCATCCCTCAGTCATCCAAGCAGTCAACCACGTCATCCAGGGAGGCGGTCCCAAACACATCGCCCACCTGGCTCCCTCCACCACCACCAGCTCTGTCCAGTTAGCCCCCGGCCACCAACCTATCGGCCACATCACGGTGCACCCGGTGGCTCACCTGAGCCAGCATCTACCCGCCCTCTATCCCCAACCGGTTGCGGTCACACAACCAGCTGTCGTCGGCCACATCACCCACACCATAAACCACGCCCACCCGCAGATGAACGGCACTGTGCCTAGCCAACCAACTGCAGCCATCGTTGGCAAGCAGACGACGGTGAGCACCCAAATGGTGGCCCACCACCCACAGCTGGTGGGTCAGACGGTGCTCAACCCTGTGACAATGGTGACCATGCCCTCCTTCCCTATCAGCACTCTAAAGCTGGCCTGAACTCTGCCAACGGGACCGCCAGGCTGGTAGACGGAGACGCCTCTCTATCGGGGAGAGCCACAGGCCTCAGACCAGGCCACCGACAAGCCCACAGCGAGGCCAGGAGAGCTGCTGGACACCTCGCTGATCCAGAGGTTCACTATCATTCAGAAGCACTGCAGCTGACACAAAGCCAGGAACATTCCTAAGACAGAACGCAAACCTCTTTCAATACTTGTCTATCACAGCATCCTGAAATCTGAAAAAACTGAATTTGGGATAAGGCAGGCTGCATGTGGTTGATGGTCATCATGTTGAGTGTGTGTGGCAGTATACAGCGGGCAGATGTCATCCATTGTTGCAGATAGCGGTGCAGTAGTCATTTTCACGTGAGCTTTGCAGCGTCATATAGGGAAAGGTTGTGCTGCCAGCACCCTGTTACGGTGTTCATGTAGGTACTGGCTGGTAGCGAGACTCCTCGCTATCACTGTGACTGCCGTGGATTAACCAATAGTAGATCATGTACTCAGGAGGTTAGGACAGTGTAGGATCAGAGTGCCCGACCCGCCATAATCACCAGCACATTGGGAATGTGATTCAGACAAGCTCCTCCTCTACAGCAGAGACACATGCTGCAGGGTTTGACAAAATCACGGACTGAACCGACGCTCCTGAACTGGAGCTGCGGTCCTCAGCGATGGTGCATACAGCAATAGCTCCCCCTGCTGGTTGATTGTGTTCAATATAATATTACTATCCCTGTGACAATGAAAGAACAAGCACTTCTGTCAGGGTTTGGTTGTTAGTATTGGAATTAAAGGACACTTGAATTGTTACTTATCTCCATCAAACATACTGGCAGGTGTACACTGAGCACAAGTACAACATTTTAGGAACAAGTTATGTTTTTGTCACAGCTGCTAATATATTTTAAAATATATTTTGCCAAATGCGATGACTTTGTACATCAACAAGTCCCCCCGAAATGTAGACGCCACAACAGGCAGTGTCGTGTTTAAATACTAAACGCCTGAGATAAAACCTCACTGTCGGTCAGACGTACAACGTGAGGGAGTTGAGGGTTGAGAGATTTTGAATGTGAGTGCGTAAGGTCCATAAAAATATAGTAAAGTGTGTTTCTATGCTGTCCTGCAGGGCAAATTGTGGTAAGATGTGTGTTTGCATGCTGTGAATGCACGAGGGATGTAAGATTTTTTGAAGATTGAAGCTCTGTCATCCATAACTTTCACTATGAAGTGATTTCCGCAGCTGCCATAACTCCAATCAGTGTGTGTTTTTTCAAGACTATCCTTTTCCAAAGCTAGCACTGTGAACATTTCTTTTAGTCTCAATGAGCAGCAAACCTGCGGTTTAGCATATAACACTTGCTACAACAGCAACATGCTCTGCTCTCCTACTTTAATCTGAATGTACTGACCTGTGAAAGGATACGGAGTAGCGCACTCATCAGAAGCCCTTTTTAAAAAAAAAAAAGAAAAGAAAAAAGAAAAATGCAATTACTTTATTAAAGTATTACATGTATGTAAAGTGTAACATTTAAAACTGACTTTGTATTTTAAGATTTACTGTTGCTTGTTTCATCTGGAGAATAACTTATGTTCAGTGTAAATTTGATAATATAGTTGTTGTTTCTTTCTGGGACCATGTACAGTGCTGTATATCAGGGGCTGACAACTACACAGACCTCTTCCCACGTTGATATCATATTCGGCCACTTTGGAAAGTATTCACCCCTTCATTTTTTTTTGTATTTTGTTGTGGTGCAATATGATCACAGCAGGGACTTTAAGGTTGTTTTCAATAACTATCAAAGTGCGATGATAAAGCGAAACCCCTTTTTTCACCTTTTTAGATTTCATGCAAATCAAATCAATGCAAACCTGAACAAATGCATCGTGAAATCATATTGTAACAAAACAAAATGTGTAAAATTTAACAGGGATTCAGATACTTGAAGAAGCAACAATATACTTGTGTGTTTTCCCTATGGAGAAAGTTTAAGTTGTATATAGCCTGTAAATGTGGGCTGCATTTAAATCTAACTGTATTATGTAAAAAACTGGGGAAAATATGTACAATTTAAAAAATTTATAAAAAAGATACTTAATAAATTGTATTATGTTTACAAATGTCTGGAGCTGCTTTGTTTGTTGCTTTCAACCAAATGGTAACTTTCTATTTTGTATTTAAAACAATACAAACCAGTTTTTGACTAGTGGGATTTATTGTTATTTACAAAGATTTATTTCTTTATCAATTAATCTGGTTATTTTCCTTTGGTTCATAAAACGCAATAAAGTTGTGAAAAATGTCCTTTCCAGTTTCCCAGAGCTCATAGAAGACTTAAACTTAAAACAGTTGTTGGTCAATTGTCTGAATATTGATTTATTGCTGAAGCTTTACTGTTTTTAACATTTTAAATCAGGAGATATATTATATCCACCCCATTTATATCAGTAATGGTAGAGTAAATATTTAAAACACCTTTTTGTGTAAGACAATACAGTTGAACAGCACTTCAAAGATCTTTAAAGAACCACTGAAGTGTCAACAAACAGCAAGATGCCTAAAACCCCTCTGAGAACGTTCTTCATCTTAATACTCAGAGAGGTTTTTTTTTTTTTTTTTTTTTTGGAAATATGTGTAACAACCAGGCTAGCAAAAGTTAAAAATAAAAGTAAGAAGTTACTTACAGTTTATCTCATTTTCATGTAGCTTCTCCTGCTAGCATACGTAGTGACAAGATGGCGTCCGTCCTCAACAGTGGTCGGGTTGCTGTAAGCTCCAACGAGGGCTCATTACAATGCAGGTTGTTTGGACAGAAATATATAAAAGTTTATCCAAACACAAACAAGCTAAATAACTAGCAGTTAACTACCGTTGCTACTCAACGACACCTGAAGACCACAACTCAAGTCTTATTTTACTTAATTTAACTATGTAGCCTCTAACACACGGTTTGCAATGGTGGTAAATTTAGGATTAGTTGATTAAAATTAGTTAAATTAAACTCTTATTAATGTCAAGCCATCGCATTTAATCCCACATTTACATTTTCACAAAACAAAACCCAGTGTTGATGCAGACATGAAATTATATTCATTTTTTTATTACAATATTAGAATTTGTACATATTGTCCTCCCCATCCGCATTTCATTTATAAATTTATTACATAAATATACTCCAAAAAGTAGAATAACAAAAGACAAATATAAAACAAATTCAGAAACAAAAGTAATACCTGACTCTGGGACAGACGCGAGAGGAATGTATTTTTTTAATGTAACAAAGGTCACACAACATGGCAGAGTCGTTTAATTTACATAAAAAGGGGTTTTATACTTGGAACAAAGAAACTATTAGCAAGAGAATCAAGTTCATTCATTAATTTTGATCATTACTCTTGGCTTTGACAAGTTTTTCCAAACAATATTCTCTGTGTCAATAGAAAACGAATTCACACAAAAGGAAAAAAAAAATCAAAAATTTAGGACACTTAAGTTTGTCATCGATGGCTTTGGTTATAAGATAAACATTAAGGTTAGCACACATCCAACATATGAGTTCCCTTCAAATTAAAATATAGTTATAACCAACCAAAACAAAAAAATCCACCTCTTCTCAGTATTTTCCCCCCAACAATTAAGTAGCTACATATTTTCATTGCCCATAAATAACCTTTTGATCAGTTTATTGATCTGCAATCGGAGTTACCTTTACAACAACACATGCAAAAATAAATACACCGCGTGGCCCTCTGATGCGACCCTCCCCTCGGACACTCACCTCATGCAAATGAAGGGTCTTGTCTAATCAAAGTCCTCATCTTCTCTAACGGTTGTCACCAGCTCTCACATGTGAACTGTTGATGGTCGTGATCGGCCCTCGTGAGATGAACTGACTTTGAGAGTGACTCTGTTTCTGGGGGGAAATATGACAAAACTCCTTTGTCAAATAAAAAGTTATTGTTAAATGCTGATATGGCGATCAGTAAGCATTGCAGTGAGTTAAGAGTGGCCAACACTGAGCAGAGACACTAACATCCATGCTGTCAGGCAGCAGAGGTGGCAACTATGATTAACATGCACATGACACTGATAAAAACATAATTTAAATGAAACTGAACAATCACTCACATAAAGATTAAACCAAATGGACCAACAGGAACCTCGGCTGAGGGAAAATCTGCATCAAACAATCATCCACACTTAATGTCAAGCAGTGTAGAAGGGGTGTAGTTAAATATAGAAACACTTAAAAAGATGGAACAAATGTTTGAGTGTAATATAGAAAATTAAATTATTACAGTATATATGCATGTTGACCTATAGAGATAGTAAAAATAAACACTTTAAGCACCAGAAAAAATTGTGCTTAAAAAAATCTGAGCAGGTCGTCACATGTAAACCTCATATCAGACCTTATGTAAAAAATAAAATACAACCCTGTGATCATGTGGCTAAATAAAGATATTTGACTCCTTAGACTTACGGACGACTAAACAAATCCTCAAATTAGACAAACCTTGTTTCTTATTGACGTTAAAGTTTTGACAGAACAGGAAACAGTAGAGTGGAGGCTTGAGTGTTTTGCAGCGGTGGTGTCTTAATGTCAGAGACTCTGGAGAGGATGATGGGAGTCGTTGAGCTGCAAATGTCAGAACATTTTACCACCTCCTCGCAGGTCCCTGATCGATGTGTAACATGCTGTTGATGAGGTTGAGTGGTGGTTGGGAGGACACGTCGGGATGTCAATGTTCTAGAGAGGAATAAAGGTTTCCTGGGTGTTTTTTCTTCTTTCTTTTTTCTTTTTTAAATCCCAGTTAAAGAGAATGTGACCGCTTGTCTTTTACGTTAATAGGCGTCTTTCTGAGTGTGCATTTGATCCTGGATCCTCTGCAGCATCTCCTGCATCCGCCGCAACTGTGAAGAGAGATGAGACGTGAAGTGTTAGTTGGTCCCACGGTGCGGTTTATTATTTACACATGACTGCACAGACAACAAATCAATAACACTCGCGAGATCAGTCTGTTCTTGTTCGGATCACGTGACCTGTGCTGATCGACCACAGGGAACCACAGGCTCTTTCACCTGCTTCTTCAGCTGCACTTCAGAGTGTTTAATGTCACCAACGCAATATTATTCATGATGGGTTCTTTAGTTTTAGGGAGGTCAAATGGCATTTTCTTCTTGTCAAACTCAAATATTTGTTTTTTCACATTTATCATAACACTGGTAACGTTGTGCTGTGATGGGCTTTTTGTAATACAGAAACACACACATAGTGAGTGAGAGGTATAGTGTTACGGTTAAGATTTTTGGACCTGACGATTATTTTTTACACTAAATCAATTACTTTATTTAGTCTACACAACCGCAGGAAACTAAGAAAAGACCAATCGCTCGCGGTTGTCCGAACATCAGTCCAAAACCCCAAAATATTTAATTTAATATAATTTAAGACAAGAAAAAACATAAAATTCTCACACTTTAAGCTTTTAAGCTTTAACCGTAAAATGTTCTGCTTTTTATCCCCCGAAACGATTAATCAATGATCAAAATAGTTGCTTCCTTTTCCGTCAATCGACTAATCAATTAATTGACTAATCGTTGCAGCTCTGTTGTCATGTTGAACCACGTTTTAATGTTGGTTACACACACACAAAAAAAAACAACTGAGGAGAAACGGTCTCTTTATTTGGTAAAATAAAATCGATCTGGAGGGAAGAGGGAGGGAACTTGAACATGAACAGATGTATCATCGGCTGTATTTATATTAACCGGGAAGTTATCGCAGTGACTAGGTTCATACAGCATGTAAAGAATACAAATATTAATAATTTATAATAATATTTAATCTAGGAATATTTCTGACAAATAAACAATTTATATTATATTTCATACGCATTTTATTTAGCCCTTGGATATAAGAACATTATTGCTGTATTCTAACTATATAAGTAGCTTGCTGTTGGTGTTCGCACCCTGCTGACAGAGTTGAACCTGCCAAGTTGCACTAAAGTTTAGAGAAGTTCTGACCTGTTCCAGAGTTATTAAAGATTATTTCTTACAAGGTTTAATCTGAGGTTGTCAAAAACTGGACAACAGCTAAAAAACCCTGGATTTTTACACATGATGACCTCCAAGGATTTACACTTCAGCCGGCTCCTGCTACCATCATGACACCACGAGTATAAAGCAACATATTCAACATATTCAGTGATTCCCATATCAGTGCTGTTACCTGGATGTAACTCTAGCTCTATGAGTAAGTGCACGTACAAAACAGAGGTAATCATGCCTTAAGTGCATGATTTTTATGTGGCAAGCTCTCTTCCTACCCACAGTTCAAAGGTCCAAAGGACTTGCGAGGACAGGGGAGCGGGGGTTTGAATGTGTAATTACACCAGTTCATGTTTTGTGAGGCTACTCATTGTCAACCCCAGAAAACATGACCCGGGTGTGCGAAAAACACTCAGAGGGCTTCGTCTCCCTTATAGTCAAAGGGTGTCTCTAGGTTGGGCTGAGTGTCTGAGTGCTCGTGGTGGTCAAAATTGTGTTCAGACTTGTGCTCGTGATCATGTTGTTGGTGCGAGTCCGGTTCGTGGTCGGCGTGCCGTACCTCCTCGTCTTTCTCCTTGATGAGCTTTTCTGTCTCGCTGTCCGCTACTCCGGGCACCACGGGGATGGGGAAGTCTGTGCCGCTCTCCCTGGTTAGTTTACTGCAGAGAAGTTCAACGTTTAATTTGTATTTAATGTAACGTCAATATAAGAGTAGACGTCAGTGTCTTAGTGGAAACTACCAGTCTATCTATTCTATCACAATCATCATCACAAACACAACATGCAAAGTAAATCTGCCTCTGGCACCGTGTAATTAGTTGCTCTCCTGATGCTGCTGACAGAACTCATTAACACTTCACAGCAAAATACCAAATAGGAGAAATCCTGGAAATAGATTAACTCATTTGCATGTGTCTGTGAAGATATATATTGGAACATTTTTAACCTATTAAATACACAGAAAAATAAATTCCAAGGATATGAATCTGAATGTCTTAAAGGTGAATGAAGCAAGAAGTGGATTACGTCTCTTTAACTGAATTCTCTTCAGCAATATTTAATCTTT